ACGCGACATGTCTCAACGAACAACAAGTATAACGAAATTTGTTAAACGAGTCTAAGGACTATCGGGACACGCCAATAGTCCTCACCGGCACTTGCGCGGACACGCGTAGCTAATGTCACACATCACGCAAGCACAAAACCACACCACGCAGGCACAATGAAGGCATTGGTGAGGAGCTGCAGGGGCCGAGCGGAGTTGACTCCCCCAGCTACCATATGACTAATGCGAGCTACAAGCTACAGGCCATCGATAAGATGATATACAGTTCATTGAATGAACTTCATTCTACCACACACATGTTGCTCGCACGCGCACACGTGACGTCACGTCAGTGAAGTTTCTGCATCGTACCGCCGTGATACCATCATAGAAAGGTGACAACGATAGCCGATGTACCTGGTGTATATCTTCCTCCCTGCAACTGTACTCTAGAGCGGTACTGCTTTTGTCAAGATAGAACGCACGGTGCGGATCGCATCAAAGAGTTATGGTATCCTAGGATGCGAAAATGCTATACGATTCGAAAGGAGGCGCCTTTCCCCATTTCTCTCGTTGCTTCTCTCCTATCACGGGCTCCGCTACTGCTGAGTATATACAGTATTCGCATCAGCTGCGGGTCAGGTCACAAAGACCTAGTTACAAGGTCCAGTCAGAGATCGCAGTTTGCTATGGGAAACAGTACTGTTTTTGTGGGTCTATCACGGGAACAATGCAGGTTCGATAACTCCACTATCGAACATCTTAGACACGCCTTGCGCTTCTATCCGCCACGTCCTTTGCCCTCGTGTCAAGGACCCAAGAATGGTGAACTCCGCGGTGAAGTAACCTAATGGTCTCTAGCGAAACACTCAGCGAAACACTGTGCCCGAACCCTTCGGGAAGTGAACGGAAGGAGACGCGACCGTCGAGTGTCAACCATTCGGACTACCGTCCACGCGGGTCACATGACGCAAGTCGCGTCACGCGACCACAAAGGACGTAATAACTACGGGAAAGACAAGCACGGGAGTGGGATTCCCTGGGTGTCACCGAGTCGGTGAATTAAATTGCACAACCAGGCTTTCTCAACCGAGTCCCTTACCATGCAAGACTTGCATAAAGTCGTCAGATAATGGATCTATATCGCAACTAGTCGTTACTCTCTTCGTTACTGCCAACTCGCTCTTCTTATTCGGAGCTTCCGATGCACTATGCGCTTCCGCGACGGTTTGGACTGTTGTCCGTGCAATCCAAAACATGGTGAGCAGAGTGTCCAAGACCCGAAGCTCGGGTCCCAAACCCAAACCAGACTCAATTGACTTCTCATACCGCCTCTCACGGACCTTACGAGAGGCATAACCCCTGACCTTAGCAATCCTAGACACTGGTATTGGATGATAGACGACACGCATGCAGAGACCATGATTCGCACCAAGCAATAGAACAGCCGTAACACAGTGAAACCGTAACGAAATGATATCATACGAACGGTATAGCATGATCAACGACTTCTTCTACTAAGCCTCCCATGCGAGATTATGGAGCCGCGGAGAAGTTACCCCAGCTGGCAGTGCCGTAGTGTTCGGACGAGCTACAACTCCTGCCCACCTACGTAGGTGCGAGGTAATCGCCTCTCCTGTGTGTGATTGTGGAGCTCCGATAGGGAATGTCAGACGCCGCGAATGTCAGATTGTGTCTCCTCCGCTCTTGTCCGCTCCTAGAGCAGCCCAGGAAACCGGTCAGAGGAGGCAATGGGATAGGGCATGCCATGCCCTATCCCTTGTATAAAATTCTTGTCGATTTGCAACGCCGCAAGGCCTGTTTCAATCGACTCTTTTTGGCCCTCATGCAGCATCTAGATGCTCGCAGGCGTCTTCTATAGCAGCCTCACATGGTCGGGGTAGTGCAGCAGCTGCATATGCACTGCAGCTGTATATCGTTTTCCAGTTTGCGCTCGCTCCGCAGTGTACTATTAGCATGTTGCTGTCTGTTGAAAAAAACGCAGCGGCAACTGGAGCAGAATCGAGTCGTTCTGAATACTCGCTAAGGGGCGAAGGCCAAAAGGAGCAAAGGGACCCTTCGGAAGGGTTCAAGAGACGAAGTCAACGGCCGCAGCCTTTAGAGCAGGAGAACGTGATTGTTGTATCATGTATTGTTCGTTATTAAGAAGCGTTTCAAGTTGAAACTTTCAATTGACTGGTTTCGTAATAGACTTTTAGAATTGAAGTGTTTGATCTTACTCATCGTGGTTCATGATCATAGTTTCCTCCCGAGATCTTTAACAACCATTCAGTTGTCAGTGACTGATTTACATTGCCTCGATATGGACTGCTGGATGGCGATCATATATGTGAGACAATAGTAGTCGGGAGAAAGCTGGAGCCACCAACTGCAACTACTTTCATGCTTGGTATCGCCAATCACTCTGAACACATAAGTTGTATCGGCAGTCCTTGCTGTGAAGGAACCGCAATGCATGACAGTGAAAACGTAGTATCGGTGGTTTCGAAGCTTATCTATGAGCATGCGGAGTTACAAGGCGATATCTCTATGAAGCAACTCACTCGACCAAACGTGACCACGAGGATGGTCTACGTATCGATCTACCTCCATCAAAATATATGGCGAATGGTATCTTCATATACAGGGAAGAACTCGTGTGTCACCGCACGGCTAGGATACTCATCGATGAAAGATGGAGTATCTTCTGTAGAGTGCCGCCGTCGACCTCTCAGCAACTCCCGGTACTACCGACAGGTAGTCGAAGCAG